TAAGCGTTCAGGGTTTAGGGTTCAGGGTTTAGGGCTTACGGTTTAGGGGATTCTAAGCGTTTAGGGTTAAGGGTTTAGGGGATTCTAACATGAGAACAGGCACGCAGGGTCCGGGTTGAGAGGTTCTTGATCTCGCTGCGCAGCCCTCAAGCATCCTGTCTGATGTAAAGTCTAGCAAGCTCGTGGCAAAATCTGCTTACTGTGCTCCTCCCTAAACCCTAAACCCTCAACTCTAAACCCGTGCAAGTTCAAGGCAGCTTCCAACTTGGATGCATCGGTTTTTCTGGGGCAAAGGGTGCTCGTAGGCTCGGGGACTCTGCCTATTGACTACTTCGTGACAGAAGGACCCCATTCCGGTCCTGAGTTGTTTGCAATCAGCATGGTTGTGTTCTTGAGTTCTTGAGTATTGCAATGCCATGCACCTTACGGTCCAACGGGTGCATTTCTTTGTCAAGTTTCTTCTGCAGGATCCACCTCTGGCAGAACGTGCCTTGACAGCAGCTGTTGACAGGATGCCGGAAGGGAGTCTACCCCTCACCGGGTAGGCTTTGCACGACATGTCGCTGCATACATTAGGTGTTGGTGGCGGTGACTAGTGTGAACCCAGTTGCAGGTCTCTGGCAGTGGAACCCTCACCTCTCGCATTTATCTAACGCGATACGAGATCTTGTTTGCATTGAACTTCCTGAACCCTAAACCCTAAACCCTAAACCCTAAACCCTAAACCCTAAACCCTAAACCCAAAAAGAAACAGATGCTTCCAGGCCTGGCCCCACTTTGTCTGACGAGCATGGGTCCTCAAGACTGAAGAAGTGCAGGCCCAAACGCAGACCACGACTTAGGGTTTTGGGTTTAGGGTTTAGGGGGTTTAGGGTTTAGGGTTTAGGGTGTCGCGCGTATCTTCGGCTGATCCAGATTTTAGATTACATCACGGGCGACATAATTGACCGCACTTTGCCGCTAATGCTTTATGTCACATTCACCCCAAAGTGATGCCTGTGACGTGTGGTCAGCACAGCTCGACATGCATAGGGCTTGTTGGCATCCTCTGTGCCCCATGCTGCCATGGTTCTCCTTACCTCGGGACGATGGGAGCTCAGGCCGGATCAGTAGCTACGCTTTTGGAGCCAAGAATCGCTCCTACACCAGAAATCAAGAGAGAATTGCACGAAATGTGACGTGGAAGATATGTCTAGAGTACGGTGGGCATTGAAGACTTCATACATTCCATGGCAGACTTAGCAACATCTTGCAGCATTGCGTAAAGTCACGATCTGGGCAGGTGTGTGCGGCTAAACCTCATGCTGGAGCGTCATGTATCTGTATTCACAGAATCACCGCTTCGCTGACAGCATCCTGGGTGGCATGTGCCGGGTTCAAAGTCTTCTATTCCGGATCTGGAATCGGAACCGCCTATCAGCAGCAGGGCAAGATCCCTAACCAGTCTCCAAGCCCCCAAAATTGAGATTTGGAAGTTGGTAACGAAGAAATCGCAAATAAGACGTCACAGCAGATCGCAGGAAGGACAATGGCATAACACCCATATTTTACGCGCCTGCCAAGAAGAATACAAATAACAGGCCGCTTCGGTCTGCTGCCACGTGGAGCGCCTCCCGCGGCAGCAGCTAAGTGCCCGGATCTCAGTTCATGGTTTGATCTAAGGTTGAACCCATGGGCCCCTAGTGTGGGCCCTTAACACCCTGGGATCCAATATATACCCTATATGTACCTTTAAGGGTCAGGAGAGAGGCCTAAGGGTCCATACCAGGGGCCCATAGTCGTAACCTTAGATTTGACTACCAGCACCATTGGCCCACCATCACAACGAATCTAACCGCGACAAGGACTAGGACCACGTGGAGACGACACGACTGCTAGCAGTACTGCTACCGCTACCACAACCGCCACTGCCACTCCTACCGGTACCGCTACCACTACTACCACTATTTCCACCACCACTGCTGCCACGAGTACCACTACTACCACTACTGCCACTACTACCACAAGGACGACGCCGACTACCACTACCACTACCACGACCACGACCACTGCCACTGCCACTGCCACT